GTTGCGCGGCCCTATCAAAAACAATGGCGGAACAACCGCGAAAAAACCAGGTTTGCAATTGACGTTGCGGCTGACATTTCACTTTACGTCTTAAAGAGGTCGCAATCTTCCTCCCTCTGTCGTCGTCCGGTTAGTTACGTGGCCTTCGGGTTTTCGTCCTTTCGGTTTACACACTTAATAAAGCGTATTTTTTCTTTTTTTTTTTATGAACGATCGCTGAAGAACGACGAATAAAATTTGTCAGGTTTTTTTTTTTTTTAAAGAACGACAGGCTAGATCGAGAATTAATAATTCAGATCTTTCGAGTAGCTCGAATGAAGAGTAAAGAATATTTGTACTAATAAATATTAATATCTGAAAGCTATAGGTGACATTTTTAACTGCAACGCTACAATATTTCCCGTGAAACTCCTTACAATTAATAACCCCGCGAATGAAATTGACATTAAGAGTTAAAATTCGACATTCACGTGAAATTCCTGCGAAATAAAATTCTTCTATATCTTCTAGATAGCGGTAGGTAAAATCGACACACAGAGAGAGTAATTTTTCGCAACAGAAGAGGAAAAGGAAAGAAAGGAAAGAAACGAAATATAAATTAAATAGATCTGTCTCTGTCTGATTGTAGATTATAGAAAATACAGTGTACAAGTTTTACGCGTGCGTACGACAGGAGAACAAAAAAGGGGAGGGGAAAAAAAAATACACATACGAAACCAGCAGTAATTTAATTTCTCTCTGTCACGCGGAATCAACCGGGATTTTATGACATTAATCCACTGGCGTAACGCCAGTGGATTTTTATTCTACATTAGTGGATGATGAAGTATTTCATACGGTATCCGTACAAACCGATTTATACTGGTATCGATGAGTATTGGGTAGAAAAAAAAAAAAAAAAAAGAAGGAAAAAACGTAAAAACCTTTATCGCATTTTCACAAGTGGATTCCGACTGATGCTGCAGAAATTATGCGGTGTTTGATTTATCGGGTGCAACACGGAAATTATCGCGTTGTCATTAATCTCGGATTATTGGACACGCGGATGTCTTTCATGCTAATAGATTCATTCCGTAGATAATGAAATTTTATTACGAACAGCAGTCGTTTTTCAAGCAGTAACGCAGTAACAGCTCGTTTATACGAGATACAGAGCTCCGTCCATCGATTTACTGACAGAAATGTAGAACGTTTAATAACGTTACATAACGTGGTTTAACATTTTATTCTGAGAATTATCACGTAATGTAGAATTCTAATTACGAGATGCCTGTATTGTTTAATGTTTGGTGTTACACGTTGCAGTGTTGTGTAACTTATCGCTGTATGTTTGTAATATTCGTCTCGTGATATACTATATCGTCCCCTTGGTGGGCGTTGGAACGATTCAAGAAACGATAGTAGCCTCAAGTGTAAGAGCGTATATAATAAAAATAGGGGCGGTAAAAGAATAAAGAAGACAAGATGAGAAAAATTTAGAAAAATCGTTGGTGTAAGAAGTCTGAGTAATTACATACCAAACAAACGCACAAAATGCAAATTGTAACCGATCAGATAATCTTGTAATTTTAAACTTCCACACAAAGTGTCTTATTTGCACCAACATCTTTTTTTATTATGTTGGAGGACATAGGTAGAAATATAAATACATAAAATAACGCAAATTTGTTGCTGGAGTTTTCTGTTTGTTCACTTAAAGAAAAATCAATATTCTCTTTCAGTTTTCATCCAGAATAAATTTTTCTCTTTTGCTGATTTTTTTATTTTCTGAATTGTATTGCACCGTGCATTTTGGGATAGCTGGTATTGGTATCAGCTCTGGTATTGTATGTTACCGTTTTTTTTTTTTTTTTTTTTTTTTAAAATT